GGTCAGGACCCCAATGAAACCATGCATTTTGATGAAGTCAAAGCAGCACCTGAAAGAGAGGAAGATGTTCTCAGATGAACTCATTTCAATGCACCAAAAAAGTGTGTAATAGTAAATTCTTTAAAATAAAATGATGGCGATAGGTCCAGTTTTCTCAAGCACTCTTGCCATGAAATGACTAAGTGTTCCATACAAATGTGTAATTATGGCACTATAGCAACCACTGAATTACCTCTCGTGTTTTACATCTGAGATATAGGACAGAACGTCCTTTTTGGGTAATTCACAATAAATAATCGCAACATACACTTGTACTTTGTGTTTAAAAGGAAAAGCTTTTCAAGCAATTTATTGTAAAGGATGAGAAACCTACTGCGTGCGTGTTATGCAGGTTCAGTTTCTGTGGGCAGCCCCCACAGTTGTGTGCGCAGAGTGCAAGGAGAACAGACAACACCGATTATTTTGGTCCTTTTTGTTAGTTCAGTTGGAAATACCTATTTTCAAGCCTGGTATTTTCATTTTGTCAGGGTAGTTTATGGCCACTTGAATACCCTAAAAGGCAGAATCCACTTCACTTTCACAGATTCACAGAAGTTTAGGGCTGGAAGGGACCTCGTGAGATCATTTCCTCCATCTCCCGTTGCTTTGTGGTTGCAGATTTGTGAATAGGGGCTGTGAATTGCCATGATTTTTTTAAATATGAGGGTGTTTCAGAAACTAATGGCCAAATGGCTACCCACGCTCGATGTCCGTGACAAACTGGAAAGCTACACAGCAGCGGGGGACACTGATGGCAGCAATGTCAAATGTACCCATTGTTTATAACTGTGATGTCATCCAGCAAATGACCACTGCACACAAAATGGCTTTATTTTGAAATTGCTGTTGCTTTCTGAAACACCCTTGCATGCTTTCAAATAATAGGCATTTGGCGGGCTTTCACTCGGACTTCCCAGGGTACTGCCCTGTCCTTGCCTGCCAAACTGTCCTGGAAATAAAGATAAATTTGGGAGGCTGCCCTCTGCATACCAGAGTGAGCCTCGAGGTGCTTCACTCCTCACAACTCAACATGGGCCCCCAGTCTGGCCCAGTTTTTTAGCTCTGATTCGGAGTGGGGCTCTCCCTCTAGCCCCAGTTATCTGTCTCTTTCTCTCTGTCTTGAGGCCTGCAGTCTCTGCTGGTGACCAGTCCCTCTTGGGGTCTGCAGCCCTAAGCAGTCTTAAGCTGCCTATCTACAATGCCTTCCCTGGGCACCCACAGTGGCCCAGGGTACTGGACACTCACATGCCTCTCAGCCATGCAAACTTCAATGTATAAACTACTAATCTTCATGGGACCCTCCACAAGACTGTTTCTCTCTTCGAGACCCAGGCCAGAATGCCCTCTCCAGCCCAGGAGCCAGGTTTATACTCCGGGCATATGGCCTCTTGTCCTTTCCTTGCCCATGAGGGGTCTCACTGGCCCCATAGGCTTCCCTCTGCACCCTCCTGCAGACATTTGGCTCTGCTGCATCTTTCTCTCCAATTACAGGGGGTTAAAGGCCCCAGTTACCAAGGCCTCTTGAAAGCCCATTTCCTGGATTTGTCCATTGTAGGCATATCAATTTGCTCCCCCTATCTGAACTTCCACTCCATTTCCTAAGGCAGTGCCCTAGTTTTAAGTTTAAGGTGAGCCAAGGAGGCAGAGGGAATTGTGTTATGTGCAATATAATGACCAAAAAGAGACAAAAATAACAATATTCAAGAAACCAACAATGATCAAGAAACCAAGCCACTACTTTTCTGAAGAGCAAAGAGGAGCCTGGACCTCGCCAGCTGCAAAACACAGAGCAGCTTGAGTTTTGCTTCTGTCTAAAGGAGGACATCTCTTGACATTACAGCTCTGCCTCACGTTCTGGCTTGTGTCCTGCCTCGTGGGGAAGAATCTGAATCACCGCGACCATTTCCGTTTGGTTTTCTTTAAAGGTCTCCCATCTAACAGCTGACCAGCACTGTGGCTCTTGAGAATAAATGAGATCCGGCTGGATCCCCACCCAAGATGGTACAGCTCCAGGCCATGTGGTTGCTTGTATTCCTTTTTTTTTCCAGTCCATCATTGCTTAGCTCTTGAATGTAGCTTGTTTGCATCCTGAACTGCGTCTACGTTACACATCCAGACGCCCACGCAGGTTTTATATGCGGAAACTCAAACCATGTACGCCAGATGAGTGTTTATGTCACAGGCCAAAAAGTTTGTTTCAGGGCAGACACAAACAATTGTCAAGTTCCCCTGGCTTGCCTCAGCTTTCAGGCAGATTAAGGAAAGCAGGATTCTGTGGTTAGTGCTGTGTGCTCATCTCCTTGGCAGACGGGACATCTCCTGCTGTTATTCTGGCCCTTCTGCGAGCTCTGAGACACGGAGAAAGTGGCCTTCCTACTTTCTGAAGTGTCCACATCTTCCATTTGGGTATGCCAGACACCTGGGAGCTTTCCACTTACCCCTACCAACGAGTGCACAAGTTGGGGGTACCAGCCCCTCAGCCACGTCGGACCCAGCAGGAATTGCTTTGGGGGTACCAGCCCCTCAGCCACGTCGGACCCAGCAGGGAATAAGCAAGCTACTGAGTGATAAGAGTTGGGAAGAAACCTCTCCTATGAAGTGGTTGCTCCACGGTTGTCCTCTTTGGGGTTTCTTGCACTGTCCCTGCAAATATCCAGTACTAGCCACTGATGGAGACAGCCTGCTGGCCTCCCATTCAGAGAGGGGATCTCTTAATACACACAACAGGCACAGTGGGATGCCAATAAGCGTGTTTACTAAATAGACGCTGCATAGGCCTAGCTATATATAGCTTCTATTACTGTGGTTGGGTTTGGTGGCTTCTCAAATGCACAGCACAGTGGATTGCAGCTAGACAACTTATAAACTATTTAAAGGAACGCTGCCCTATTCCAACACATTCACCCAACTCCTTCCCATCAGCGTAAAGGACATAAAAGGTTGCAAATGCAAATATTATCTGAACAATTCTCACTAAACACAAAGCATGCTGCAAATCTAATCTAACTGCTTTGTTGCCAGGGAGGGTCAGTGTCAAAAATCAGTAAGTTTGGGACTGTGCTACCTACTCCATGAATCTCAAGAGCCTTCTGTGCTGTTGATGAATACAGATTTTCCAGTGCTGTCAGCACAGCCCATTTTGCCAGCCCTAGATTCAATAAATATCAAAGTAAGTTTGCTTAATGAGCAAGTTATGGCATTTTGCCCACTGAGGACTTGATCCAGCTGGTAACAGCTACGGAGCAAAGCAGATCCTCTGCCTTTTTTTATGCTCTGCAGCTCTAAAGGCTAATTGTAACATTTAAATTGTAGTGGCCATACACTGCTTCATGAGATATGCTGTGATGCTCTCTCCTTGCAAGCAGGGCTGGTGCATGGGTTCTCCTATTTCACTCCACAGATTTCATATTCAGAGCTCTCGGGTTTTATTTGGCATCAGTAAGAGGTTCTCTTTCAGACTTGTTTCTAGCAAGACTCCAAATATGAGGTAGCGTCTCTTATTGAGGGTTTGGTAATATATTATTAGCAAGATTTCAGTAAACTTGTTGGGTAATTTGAAAAAAATAAGCAGTCAGGAATTCAGAATAGATAAATCGTAGATCCAGGAAGCCCACAAACTTACGGCAAA